CAGGAACAAAAAAATGCTTCCAAAATCTCTTTAAAATGGAGCAGCTGTTTTAAGATAGGGAGGACAGGCTAGGATACAACTGTCCTCACAGATGGCAGTTCAGGGTGTAAGCAAGGTCAGAGCTGGCAAAGGGCATGGTTTGTGGGATCAGAAGGCTTTTGGCTTCCTCAGCAAGACAAGCTGGCCCAGGGTTATTTTGTGTGAACAGTCCTGAGAGCATTACACCAACAGGTAGCCAGCACCTCTTATCCCTGCACACCATGTGGGTCAGTCCTCTTTTCTCTCCATCACTCCAATGTCCTGCTCACTCCTCATGGCTCTGTGTCCATGTTTCCTGAGCCAGGCAGGGCAAGGAAGCTGTCTGGGCTTCTTCTGAGCACTCAGTCTTACACAGGGCACAGGCAATGTGTGCAGCACATCCATATGTCACTGGAGACATCCATCTCTTCCAAATATGCCGACAATTCAGCAACCTGGCAGCCAAAAGAAGGCATTTCAGAACTGCAGTAATTTTATTCTACAGCTCTAAAGAAGCAAAGCCATCCCTGGATGGGGATGTGAAAGTGCTATTGCAGTGTCTTGAGCAACAAATGGTGTCTAGTGTTTATGCAGAGAAGAGTGGTATGAACCAGAGAGAGGAAGTACTGACTAGACTGTCTGGTTACACTGTCCATCCCAGCGGGAATGCTGGTAACCAAAGAAACAACAAAGGTAAAAAAAAACAACCACCACCTACCGAGGGGCCCCATACCTGGGTAAAAGCTGTAACACTGGGACTTTTATCTTTGCTGTGGCTGCACTAGTGCAAACAAGCGGAGTGACTCTTGTCTGCTGCTCTATCTCTGCTGCATTCACAGTGGGATCTGAAAAATCCCACAGGATAACCCATCAGATTGCTTTTTTATCCTTTTATCAGAGAGTAATCACACACCCTGTATACAAGAAAGAAAAGGAACAAAGCATGCAAAGTCAAAAATATACATAATGGAAAATGCCGAGTAGAAGTTGCAAAAGCAGACTGATTTTGTCCTCTCGTTCCTCACTTGTTATGATAAGGACTTTTATTTTACAGCCATTGATCCATTTTCTCGTGGGGCTTCAGCCTCCCTGGGTGTACTGAGCAGGCTGTGCCGAGGTAGCAAAGAGGTGCTCAGGCTTTGCTTTCCTCTCACTCACCCAGGCTGTGCCCAGAGCAGCTCCTCAGCTCTTCCTTCCACTGGTAAAGCTGCCTTGTTTTCTTCTGAGTATTTTTCATTGCCTCAGGGAAAGTGCAGAGTTGCCACGTGAGGTGAGCAGCTGCTGTACTGTGCTGCAGGGGCAGAAGAGTGATGTGCAGACAGCTTTTGGCCAGATATATTCCAGCCATGTACTTTTTTAGGGATCATTTAGAATGCTTACGACCTGATTTCACAGATAATGCAATTTTATTTGGCACTCAGTTTTGTTTTTGGGAATTTATGGATCGTGTACTTGGACTGACTGCAGTTGGGTTTCCCCTGGCATGGGAGCATTTAAAAATAATGTTTTTCAGTTACAATCAAAGGATTTTTTTTTTTTCCCAAAAGTACTCACTAGACCAAGTTTACTTAGAGAATTAAGTTCAGACTTGTTTTGAATCTGATGTGGAATAGCAAGTGGCAAGGAGCAGTAAGTGCTGTCCAGCCTAGAGGAGAGCATGGACGAATTGAAAAGAAAATAAAAATTAAAAACTGAGAAAATTTTTAGTTCAGTCTGTCCAGGTATGCTGCTGTTTTCACCATCCCTCTGCAATCGAGGTAGTGTTACCTTCCAACAGGAGGATGATCAGTGCACTGCTTTCTTAAACTGCTGAGACTAAATTCCAAAGAAGCAACAAAAACCCTGCAAGTGTAATGCTTCAGCCTTGTAAGACACATTCCCTGCCACAGTGAACTAATGATGTAATTTAAATCACAGTAAAGGATGTAAGAAAGACAAGGCACAAAAGGAAGAGGAGACAAAAATATCCTAGTAACAACATGTTCTTCCAAACTATGAGCATAATAATGTGATTTAAATTTCTACCAGATTTGGGGAATTTTTTTCACATCATTGTTCTCTTCCTTCTGCAATTAAGTGGTTGTACTTGACTGCATGGTGGTAAGCAAATAACACTAATTGTTATTCTGATTGGAGGGTATCAGACTGAAACCATGAATTCTGTTATCAGCTACAGGTAATAAAAATTGTATGAAAAGATCTATTTCAGGCAGCTTTAGCATCTTTTTTCTCTCTCTTTTTACACAAAAGAAGCAGGTCTGACAAGCAATATGACAGTGAAATCCTTCTGCTGAGTCAGATGCTCAAACTTACATAATTGGGGTGTATTTCCATATTGCCTCCCTCCTTTCCTGTGCACGAGGCACAGAGGGAATGTCTGCTCCAAGGCTGCTCACAGTAGCCGAGTGTGGAAGCCTCAACATTACAACTTAAATATTTAAAATACCTTAACATCTCCACAGTGGGATAATGAAATACTGTACTAAGTCAGCAAGGCAGGGTCTTCTGCCCAGTGACTGGAGCCCATATGTTGCACAGAAGCAGGGTGAAACTTTTCTGTTCCATGGAACACTGAGTAAATAAGAATTTGGTCAAACAGTATGTCATTTCCTCATTTTTCAGAAAAGCAGTTCTAAAAACAAGCAGGAAAAAAAAAATAATTATTAAAGAAAATCTGATTATTGCAATGTTCCAATGCCATTTTCTGACTCTGGTACATTGTGTGATTTCTCAGGCTGTTATTTTTTGTAGTGTTATGGTGGAACTGTCTGCTAAAATCCCAGAGCCCTATCACACAAAACTAGTTTACTAGAAATGTCATTTGGCACGCAAACATTTTTGTCCACAGCAGAAATTTCCGTGGTGTATTTGGAAAGAAGTGCCAAGAAAAGAAAGCTTCGTGTTCACAGATGGCATGTTCCTCATTGACTGCTTCAACCACGAGAGATGTGTGCACAGCTCCAGCCCTGTGGGCTGTCTGTTCTCAGAGTTGCAAGGGTTTTTTGGTTAAAAATAAAAAATAGGTACAAGTATAAGAAATACTGAAAGGAAAACACAAACTAAAAAACAAAGACCAAAGAGAAAGCAAGAAGGTGAGAAACACAGCAAGCTGAGTTAAATCAGATGTATGTCCCTGCAGAGGACATGATGAGATGAGCTATCTGAGAGATGCAAATTCAGATCATGCCAGGCAGAATGGGAAACTGAACCTCCTCCAACTTCTTGGAGGAATGCCTTTATTACTGTGTTTCAGGATAACTGAAAATGAGTAAACAGCACACCATTTGCTTTCCTTTCTAGCTTAGAAAGCTTACAAGCACCATTTCAGATTGAACAACATTTAATCTGGTACAAGTGTGGGGGGTTGAGTTTTTCCCCCCACACAGAGCAAAGAAGAAAATAATATTTATTTTGGCTGTCTTCTGGATTATTTCCCTCCCTCCTATTTGGCTGCTCAACTGAAAAAGCAATCCTATACCCATTCTCCATTGATCTACTTCCAGCAGGGTTCCACTCCACATCCCTCTGGGTTTGGCAGCCTCAGAAATGAATTCAGCTAGAAAGTCCTGTAAGCCACTTACAATATTGGAAGTCATCTCACTCTGCTTCCACCGATGAGGAAGCATTCTCTTGGACTAAGTGGCAAGACACAGACTGGTTAGGTTGTTTGCAAGATGGGTAGAAAACTGGCCAACAGGCTGCACTCAGAGGGTCTTGATCAATGTTTTTATCTCAGGATGGCAGCCTGTTGCAAGTGAGGTTTCCCTGAGATTGTTGCTGGGCTCCACGCTGTCCATCTTCACAAGGATTTGGGTGATAGATTTGAAAGCAGCTTCACCCCGGGCTGCTGATATCACTAAACTGGGCAGTAAAGACAACCTGCCCTGTGAGGAAAGACGGAAGGAGTTACATCTTATCTCCCTGGGGGAGAGAAGGCTTGGAGGCAGGGGGCTAATCTCAATATACCATAGTGCTACAAAGAGGGCGGAGGCTCTCCTCACCAAGTACTGCATGGAGAAGACAAGGCACAACATGCATTTTCTTACGGTGAGAGCAACCAACGACTGAAACACAGGGATGTCGTGGTAGAGTCCCTGTCAGGGGAGATTTCCAAGCTGTCACTGGACAGGGTGCTCGATAATCTCATCTAGGCTCCCTCCCACAAAAGTTGGACCAATGATCTTTCCAGCTCCCTTCCAGCCTGGTCTATTCCATGGTTCTATGAGTCTGTGAGAATATGGGGTCCTGTAGCCATCTTCAACATTATCCTGAAGAAAGAACCAGCCCAGCCCCACCATTTGCCAGCAAGCAGACCTGCATGCACTACAGTTCCAGCTGTCCAGACAGATCTCCAGCTCACCCAGCTGGCAGGGACCACACGAAGGGCGCTGCTCTTTCTCACCCGCTGGACACCGGACCTCATCGGCCCACGTGAACCAGCAGCAACTTTTCGCTCGGGGCCGAGGCCCAGGTGTGGGTGGTGAGGAGCGGTCTCACGGCTCACCGAGGCCTCTGTGACCTTGGGAACTCACGGCTGCCGTGGCCCTCGCAGCCGGGACACACCGGCCGCGCCTCTCCTGGCGGACCGCAGCGCCGGGGTCCGCGTCCCCCGCTGCCCCATTAGCCAGTGGCTCTAGGAAGGAGACAAAGGCGCTCTGCACGGCCGGAGGCGTTGACCGGCAAGGAAAAGGGGCCGGGGGCGCAGGACGGGCGCTGGGAGACCCTCAGCGCGCCTCCCGCCGCCTCCTCCCGACCGAGCCCTCAGGCAACGCGGTGAGAGAGCGGCGCCGAGGCGGCCACACAGCGCGGTGACGGGCGCGCTCCCCATCCAATAGAACCGCGTTGTTATCTGATGGACACGCGTACTGACCAATCGTGGCACCTCAACAGGTCCCCCCTCGGCTCGGTGCCAATCGCGATGCCGGCGGCGGGCGGGGAGGCGGGGCCGTGTGCCGGCGCGGGGCGGGCCGTGTGCGGGGGCCGGGGCGCAGAGCATCGCTCGGGCTCAGTGCCGCCGCCGGTTTTGTCCCCGCTCCCGCGTCGCTTCTCCCGCCGGCCGCCCCTTCGCTCCCGCGGACATGTCGTCGCCGTCGTCCGGAGAGCGGTACGAGGAGGAAGAGGAGGAGGAGGAGGAGGACGGCGCCTACGAGAGCCAGGCCAAGCGGCTGAAGCCCAGCGCGGCTGCCGAGGAAGGCGAGATCGAGTACAGCGGCGCGGAGGAGAGCGAGGGCCGGCGGGACAAACCCCCAGCGTCGCGCAGCGGCGCCGGCTTCTCGGGCGGGGTGAGGGACCCGGGGCCGGCGGGCAGGGGGGCGGCTCCCCTCAGGCTGCCGGCGGGGGGAGGGGGCCCGCCCCGCCCCTCCCGCGGGCGAGGCCGCGACCGCCCCCGCCGCTGCTCCCCGGGCAGAGGGGCCGTGCTCGGGGAGGGGCGGGGGGCTTCCCACGGCCACGAGGCCTTTCCGGGGTCGGGGCCCTCTGCCCGCTTCCCAGGCATGGAGGCGCTTCCGGCGGGGTGGGAATGGCGGGGGCTCCGGGCCGGGTCCTTGCTGCGCTCCGCGCTCTCCGCCGCAGGCGTGCGCTTGTTCCTCACCGCCCTCGGGCATGGGCTGAGCCTGCAGCCTGAGGGATGGAGGGGTGAGAGCGATGTGGATCTGGGAGCTCACGGATTGCCGCTGTTCCGCGGGCAGCTGTGTGTCTTTCGGGATATCGCCATTGCAAGTTTTGTGCCGGCCCTGTTGCTGAGCGTAACTATAGAAACACCGAGCGGGGGGGTGGCGGCGGGGGCTGAAACCGCGGCCGAGGGTTTCTATTCAGCCTCCGTTCTACCTTTGTGTCTGGCACCATACGGCGATCGGGCTGATCTTAAACCACTGCCTCCTTTTAAAATTAATTTCTAATTCTGCTTTCTCCTTCCCTCCCTCACACTGCTATGAGCACGATGGTTCACTTTTTTTTTTTTTTTTAACTACGTACCTTTTCCTCGTGAATTTGCATCTATCAAGGCAGTCCTTGACCCATAAATTTGAGCTAACGAGACTTTTCTGTTACTGCTTGATTCTTTATCTAACTAGTTGTGTATCTGATTACAACCATTTTTCTCCTTGATGGCTCTTTCTGTTTCTTACTTGAATAAGCCAAATCAAGAAAACATTGATTTAATGTCAAAGCTTGAAATTTGGAATACCCGTTTTGTGATTTGTTGAAATGAACTTGCTTATCACTGGGATGAGTTAATGAGGGAGCATTTGCTGTTACCATTTCTCCAGAAGCTAAATCTATTGATAGAGAAGGTGCCTGCTAAATTTATTGTCCTCATTTAACCCTCTCCTGCAACCAAGCAATGCACAGCTGGCTCCTGCCCGGGCTCATGGGGGAGAGAATGAAAAGGGTGCAGGAGAGGAAAATCCTGCTCTGCCTTCTTCTTTCCCCATTTTATATGCTGATTTCATAGGGTCTGGGATACCCCTTAGGTCACTTGGGGTCACTCTCTCGGCTGTGCTCACATGTGGAGCCTTAGGAGGAGCAGAGAAAGCCTTGATTCTTGCTCAGCAGGAAGGAAAACTTCTGTACTAACAGCACTGTTTTGAGCATGTATCCAAAATATAACCCATACTGCTATGGAGAAAATCAATATTACCGCAGCCCAAACCAGCACATTATTACAAAAGTTTCCTGATAAACTGTAACAAAATAAATTTCCGGAGAGAAGTGTTTTAACTCTTAAGGTTCTTGTGACAGAGCATCATCTTTGTTGCAGTCAAGACTTAGTAATGTGCTCTGTCTTAAAGGCCAGTGCTGAAAGAAATTGTTATACTTGCTTAAGTTATCTGGAGAGTTTGTCATGTAGGAGAGCTGAACGCCATGCAGTGAGTGTTTCAAATAGAAAGGATATTTGGCTTTTGCCTTTCTTCTTTTCTGCAGTACTTTTATGAAATCAACTAATTCTTATATTTCTCTTTTTCCTTCTTTCTGGGCTCTGGCTCAGAGCATCTTCATAATGTCTCAGTTTATCCAAGTTTACCTTTCATGGTAAGGAGATCATGGGGTATGTAACTTCACCTTTTGGATCTCAAGTATGACATGTGCTGAGGCTTGTGAGTGAAGAAACTGAAACAAATGTGTAGCAAGTTGAGAACATGAGGGGTTTTCAGCAGCTGGTTCTATCAGTGGCAGTGTCATTGACAATTTATTGGCAAAATTGTATTCACAGATTCACTGTTGGAGAGGCAGAAGTTGTCTTGATGCTGGAGATCAAACTGGTTTCTTAAGCATAAGCTAACATCAAATGGAGATATGAAAAATGAATGACTGAGTGCTTTTGTTAGTAATTTTATGTGAAGCTTTTAATAGCTAAATACCAGCTTCTATTAAGCAGAGTTAGTGAATGTGAATTTTCATGTTTTTTTCTCTAACAGATACAAAAATGTGCAGGAAACTTATTTATTCTGTGACGTATCTTACTCGTTCCTCTGCAGGGAAATGTTCTCAGCTTATAAAAGTTGTATGTGGTTCAGACATACAAGATGAAGGTAGGCTGAGAGGAGGGAAGAAGTGTAAGTATCCTGGATTGCTCAGAAGAGAGCAGAAAAATAAAGTAGGAAGATCCATAGCTAATGGGAAATTAGGAGGAGAAATGGAAAATTATGGTGAAATTATGATGAGAAATGAATGATCAGAGTAAAGAGTGATAGGAGCCTGGAAGCTTTATGATTTTTCTTTTTTTAATTTTTTTTTTTAATGTATTTTTCCCTCACATATGGCCTGGAATATCAGGAACTGTACACTCATGGATTATATGCCCTTGTATAAAAGCTGTTTTGTGCTAGGACTCCTCTGGCAGGTTGGTGGGGTCACCCTCCTGGGCTGTATTTATTATTGTGGCAGTTTCCTGTTCTGGGATTGTTGCATTCGGCTGAAGAAGCCCTTCATGCCTCTATTTTTAATTTTTTTTTCTTTTTTGTTTGTTTGTTTTGGTTGGTGTCTTTTGTTGTTGTGGGGTTTGTTTTGGTTTGATTTTTTGAAAAGGGTGCCTAGAAATCTCTATGTGAGATCCAGAGGGAAACCGACATTTGTTTTGCTCTTCATTTTCCTCTGTTTCCCGCTTGTGTGGACACTTCTCATACGCCAGAGGCGTACCCTCTCCTTCATGGCTCATCTCCAGGCTGAGGAGCAAGGAGGGCCGGGAACAGACCAGGATGTTGACCAGGGAAGGAGCAGGATGTGTTCCTGCGGAGTGTTCAGTGGGAAAGAGTGTGATTTGGAAGAATGACCTTTACAAAAGCAGTGTTGATTGGTGGTGAAGCCCTGTCAGAGGAATCAGAATTGCAGTGTAGCAGAGGGTCAGGACACTGGGATAATGTGGGCTGAGAGCTGTGTTTAAGGGAATTTTGAGGACCTTTCAGCTCCATCCCCTCTCCCTCCCCTAAATGTCAGTTTTATGGATTAATGTCATTTATACAACCTGTAGCATCCACTTCCCTCACTGTCTCTGAGATACCTATTCCTAAGCATTGCTGTGAAGTCAGGAAGAACGATTATCCCTGTTCCTATTCCCTGTTCCTTGGGGAAGGTGAGATGTGGTGTCTAAATACACAAACAGAGCTATCAGCTGATGCAGGGTAAAACAGGGCTGTGATCTTGCAGCTTCTCAGCCACTCTATTGAAACTTCCTGGGTGCTAAATGGAAAGCAGCTCTCCTTGCAACTCAGTTGCTTCGTGTCTAACGCAGGCAGTGTAGTAACAGCAGCTAAATGCAATGAGTTCAGATCTTGACCTATTTTGCAGCGACTTGTCCATGTCTTAAATGAAGCCCATCCTAGAAGCTGCTCTTGAGTAAATGTAAATAATCTTCCCTCCTTTGTCCTCCTTCAAAAAAAACCCAAACCAAAACATTACCCTCAGGCTGGTTTTTCCAGTATCTCAGGCCAAATCTCCTGATGATGTGTTGTGTAGGGTTTTGTTTTGGGATGGTGTTTGCTTGGTTATTTTATTTATTTATTTAAATATATATTTTTTAACATATTTTAAGGATATTCAGATTGTCATGAGCAGAGAGGAAAATAGAAAAGACTGTTTCAGTTGGAAGGGACTTGGGACAATTGTATGGTCCAAATACCTGACCATTTCAGGTCAAATAGAAGGGGTCATAGTGCAGGTACACTTTTTGTAGCAGTTGAAATCATTGAAAGGACGCAGTGGTAGAGATGCATTAATGAAAGAGAAGTGATACCTAAACTCATCCAAATGGGATGTATGGGGTGTGATTAATGTTTACCCCTTTCTTCTGTGTAGCCCTGCCCCCTAGGCCCCTAAACCAACCAGCAACAATAAAAAAAAGCACAAATCCAGGATATATAAAACTGATTCATTCTTCCACTGCCATGGAGCCTTAACTTTGTCTTGTCTGCTTGGTTCTTCTGAGACACTTCCCCTCACTCACCACCAGCTCTGTTCTATCTGTAAAACAAATTTCAGACCAGTTAAGAGGGTTGCAGAGAGAGGAGAAAGTTGAGAGTGAATAAGATAATCTGAATGGTGAGAAACTAAATAAGAGTATATTTAGATACTTGGCAGAGGGAATATGAAGAAGTGCCATCTTCTTGCAGCAAGGGAAAAAAGAGAGATGGAGGAGGCAAATAGTGAAAAGAAAGAAGCAGATAGCAGATGCTCAAAAAAAGGTAGTACAAATTAATAGGACTAAAATGAGTATACTGACTGAAAGGTGTCTGACTGGAGAAAGGATAAAGGACACATTTTTGTGCAAACAGTTGGTGAGAAAATTCTAATCTAGAATTGACGAGCAGGAGAGGCGTTGTCCTGCAGCCCGTGATGACTTTCTTCCTTTTTGGAATGGCAAGCTGTAATTAGTTGGCAAGAAATCATTGATATGTTTTAAATGTTGTTTAGAGGTATGTAGGTCACCAAAAAATGGATGTAAAATACCACAGCCATTCTTTGAAGCTGCTTCTGTTGCAGTCTTAGGTATGTGAAGTCACTTGTTCGAGCTTCATCTGCTTGGATATGTCAGTGCTTCTCCTTCTGCCTCAGCTTTGTTTCAGGGTAATCATTTTTATGCTCCTGGTTTCTTTCTTGAGGAAAACCTTTTCTATCCTTGTTACTGGTCTTGAGCAGGAAGTCTGTTCCATTATCTATTTAAATTAACTGCATTTTCTGTCCAGCCTAATGATTCTTCAATCATTATTGAGCTTTCAAGCCCCCTTAAGCAATATATATGTATATATTAATGATACAGCTGTAACATTGGCTACTCTGCTCTCCTGGCTTTGGTGGGGAGTGCAAGTGTGGTGTTGGAGTTTTGCATGGGGCTTTGTGCTCTGGTGGGAGCTGAGTTACTGAAAGACTCCTTTGTAGGCAGAGAAATACTGGTGATTGTTAGTGTGTGAGCAGATGCTTTGATATAACCTTTGTCTGTGTGCCAACTGTGGCACATGTAGCTTTCAAGATACAGTGGCTGTGAGATCTTGGTCAAAATCCTGCATTGTTTATCTCTGGGGAGAAATTCCAGTAGCAGTTGGATGAGCTGTGAATGTTCTGACCTTAGCTGTACGCTTTACACTCTGCAGACAGGTTTGATTTTTCATGTGGTCTGGTGGTTTTATTTCTCCTAGAGGAAATCCAGGGTCATTCTAGATTTGCTTGATACTGCAGCTTTGTAGCTGCAAAACCTGTTTGACAATATGTGTGTCTGCCCTTTGTGAAGACTTTCCTTGCACCCAAATATATTTCTGTGGCACGTGTCCCCATCTTTCACCAGCCCATGTGCTCTGTGAATGTTAGTTTGAGGCTTCCTGGCTCAGGACTGGTTTGTGCTTGATTCTTGTGCTGCCCTTCACTGCTGCTTGCTAGAAACTATTTGGAGTAAAGCAGAGACCCTCTGATTTGGCCACCTCTGTGGTTTTATGTATATAAAAGTGGTTCTGAAATTCTCTGTACGTAAGTCCTTAGGTTCATGGCAGGTGGCTGAGCTATCACTTGTTTGTGTTTGGGGTTTTTTGGGGTGGGTGGATGGGTTCTTCTGTTGTTTGTTTTGGGGGAGTTTTTTGGGTTTTTTTAATCCATGCTTCTCAAGCTTCTGTGCAGGTTACTGTAATGGCAATTTTTGGTTCTTTCTAAATCTCTTGCTAAACCTTGCTAAAAGAATACTTTCTGTATGATGATTTGGGAGAAGGAAGTTGGGATTGGAAAGCCAAATGTTGCTTTAATGACAACAGAAAGCAAAATTTGTATTTATTGATATTCTGCAGAAGTGCAGACGCCTGTACATGTTCATGTAACTCAATGATAATGGATTTGAAGATGCAAATGTGAAAGTCTTAATTTTTGAGAGAATTTGCACTTTTAGAAAGATCTGTTTCTTGCAAATACCTGCTGCTAGATAAAAGTACAAAGGGATGTGCATAACAAAGAAACATGAACTGAAACTAAACCAGACATTTGAGCTGGGAACGGGAGGAAGAACGAAATACTTTTCTGAGTACCCATTCTCTGAAAAGCTTTATGCGATTTGTGGAGATATTAGTTCAAAAAAGTAGTGAGTAGCAATTATTACGTTACTAGTAACTGTTCCTTGTGGTGAGACTGCTTCGATGAGCAAATCATTGCTTGTATTCACCATGTGATTAGACAGAAATATTATTAGATGGGATTTCTCGAGAGTATTAAACCAAAAAGGAAATGCATCCCCCTGGCACTAACTGGGATCTTAATATAGTAGCAAGTATGCAGGGCAATGAATAATTTATGTAATTGTTTTTGATTGTTCTGTAGACTGTAAATAAAGGCGCATGTTATCTCAACACCATAGAGTAATAGGGTTTGCAGGAAAAAGTGGTAGTTTTTGTTAGTTTTCTCTTGAAGATTTCCTCACGTGCTTTTTTCAGCTTTGAAAAGTGTGTATGTAGGTTAAGACCATATGAGCTGAAAATAAAATCTCTCTGTAGTTCTGTTCCTTCTGCAATTACCTAAGCATTTGCAGTTCAAAGTATTAATCTTTTGCGACTACTTTGATCACTGCACCTGCTATACACCCGAGCTGATTGATTCAGGATACAAGGTAACTTATGCAAATATCACCAGTGGTGTTTTCCCAGCATTGCTGCATTTCTTATTCGAAGAAATGTGCTGTCACTTAAAATGCTTTAGTACTGCAAACAAATAAAATGTAAGGTAAGCTTAAAATATTACACAGCAGATTGTTCTGACATCTGAGGAAGCCTGAAGTGCTGGCTTTTGATTCAAACAGAATGGTCAAATCCTTGATTTAAATAAAATCTGTAATTGTTTAGTGACAACTGTACGTGGAACACAGGAGTTAAACAAACAAGACTCAATTTGTAGTTATCTGGAATGTGTTTTTTCCTGGCATCTGTAGTTCAAATGGACAGAGAAGAGAGGAATGTCAGTAGTAGCAATCATTGTGGTTACTTAATTATTGGAGCTCAATGCTCCTTTGTGCTACAAATGAGAATCTCTCTCAAGTTCCAGAAGATTGTGCTGCTGTTTAAGAAAAAATAAAAAATCAACAAGACTTGATCTGTTAGATGGAACACACTGATGTACTCAATAATTTGAATACATCAACTTCACACTGCTGTTACAAATATGAAGTTTGCTGCTGGGTATTTGCAGTATATTTTAGTGTGCCCTTTATTATCTCTAATCTTTTTTTGATCATCTCTCATTATTGGCTTGCATTCTTCTTCTTTTATTTTCTTTTTATTTTTTTTTTTTCTCCCCTCCATGTCCTAGAATATTCAAAGTAGATTTCAGCCTTATTTCAGGGTTTTCATGGAAAGATGAGCTGATTCCAACCCAAATTCTTCAGTTGCACAGAACTGAGCCTGTCTGAAAGTACCTCTGAAAAATATTTATGGTGGGCATTCTGTGTGCTAATGCATGACATCTGGATCCATGAATAGTAGTCAGCCTTGGGGTGGAAAGAGCCCCATATGTACAGAAATAGGGAGTTTTTAAAAATGTGCGTTCAGAATTAGAAGGGAGGTTGGGTTTATTTCAACCATAATCTGGAAGCTGGCATTTTCTTGCATTGTGGAGCATTGGAAAAATACTCAATTTGCATTCAGTTTACAGATGGCCCTCATTTGTTCTTACTTTTTTATTCTCCCAGCCTGTCTCAAAAACATACTGGCATCAGCAAGCAGTGTCAGAAATGTTTTAGCTGTTGGACGTGTCCTAATTTTTTTTTATTTTCCTAATGAATAGGGTGTGTGTAAGACCTCCTGCAACTCAATCAGTGTTAAATGCCTGCCTTTTTTTAATAAAAAAAAAATCCTGTGTGTGCAAACAGATTAATTAAATCTGAAAAGCTTTTTATTTTAAGTAGACTTCAGCAACTGAACTTGGCAATCCATTTGGAAAGAAAAGTTAAATTATTTAACACATGCTTAGATTGTGCATTTAGATGGCTGCTTCTGGACCCAGTGTAGTGTCTACCAAGTATTTATTTTAGTTAATGATAGGAGTGTTCCTTGCTCTGTGTTGAATTTTAAAATGTCATTTTGTTGCTAGGATGCCGGGGGAAGTCATCACAAAGTCTCTGTTTCTCCTGTCGTCCATGTCCGAGGGCTGTGTGAATCTGTCGTGGAAGCAGATCTCGTGGAAGCTCTTGAGAAGTTTGGAACCATATGGTATGTCTTTGTTAGGAATTGTTTGGAAAAAAGCATTTCATAAATGACAATTATGGGAGCTGGGAGTTGTTTTGAGTGAGCAGGAAACCTCAGTGTGATGTTTCCCTCACCAGCTATGTCATGATGATGCCGTTCAAGCGCCAGGCTCTGGTGGAGTTTGAAAACGTGGAGAGTGCAAAGAAATGTGTGACATTTGCAGCAGATGAACCTGTGTACATTGCTGGGCAGCAGGCCTTCTTCAACTACTCCACAAGCAAGAGAATCACTCGGCCAGGGAACACTGATGACCCATCCGGTGGGAATAAAGTTCTTCTGCTGTCAATTCAGAATCCTCTCTACCCAATCACAGTGGTAGGTTTTGTCTTATTTATTTTTATTTTTTTTTTGTGTCTTCACATAGTTAACATGCATGTTCTTAAATAAAGGCTTTTCAAGATGATTCAGTCTAGCACAGATGTTTTGCAATACATTTGAAGATTTCGGAAGTGAGGATTTTGAAATGTTGCTGCATGCTTCTGGAATATTTCCAAATGTGTTGCCACAGCATCAAGATTGATATTTAGGCTCTGAATGGTGTATGTTTAAAGAGCAAGTAATTTTTCCAGTAGGGAAAGGTTATTTTATTGCAGTCCTTCTAAAGTGTTTCCTTTGTGGAAATGTGAAACCTTTATCTTCTGATGATCAATTCCAGTTTGATGGAATCTTCTTCACTTTTATTTGGGCCAACATATTTTCCTTTTTACTATTTCAAGTTATTCATTGTCATTTATACACTTGTATCCTAATTTATTGCCATTTATTAATGACATGTATACATGGTTTTTTAAGATATAGGTTTGGGTTTTTTTTGTTGTTATTTAAAAATTTATGTTTTATCATGCATTAATTGCTTATATTTTTCATAGAAGATTTTATAGTAGATGTTAAATTTCATAAATATATAAATATAATTATATATATAAATGTATATATATAAATGTATATAAAATATATATATTTAAATATATATATATAAATATTTCAGAAAAAAATTAAATTGTGTACTATGATACAAGTATGAATCATTTGTTCTTAGGGATGTAGGATAGTATGGATCAATCAAAGTTTTTGGGGTGTGGAACCAAGTAACTTTATGCAAGCATTAAGTTTTATTTAATGTGCTGTATATTATGAGAGGAAATTGACTCATTTGACAGCTTAGTATTCCTGAAATTACCTCAAGTAGTCAGTTCCACATCTTGCTTTCTGCTTCACCGTCTTGTGAGTATCGATAGCTTTTTGTCTGTTGATTCATCAGTGAGTGATGAATTTTCTTTCTCCTGTCAATTTCCTTTATAGAAAAGCAGCCATGGTGTGAGTTGCTTTTTGGTGTTTAAAAACAAACCTGCTCTGAGTTGTGTGAACAAATCCACTGACTGAGTTAAAGTATTCTTTGCGCATGACTGCAATACGAATTTTGTAAACTCTCTTTCATTCATGCATTTTAAATTTGCCTTGCGTGAGCTGCTGAGTTGAAGGTGGATGCTTGAAAAAACTGGGAGCAGAAGCCTGCTAGGAGAGTTCCATGGGAATTCTGAGGATGAAGCCTCTGGCACAGTAGCTCCCTTTTAAAAACAAACACCACCCCCCCTCCCCAACCTCTTCCTTCCCACTGCCCCCAGCTGTTTCTTTAGCATATACAAATGAGTGCTAGAAGCAGGCAGATTTCCAGAATTGCTGGCAAGCAGCAGAGGTCATTGAAGGCAGCGTAGTCACAGCAACTGGGGAGAGCAGCTGTACCCATAACAGCTAAAAATGTAGTGAGAAAAATACAAATTTTGTGCTTGCCCAGTGGGTTAAAACCAGAATGCTTTAGGTAAAGTCTGCATATTAAAAAACCCACCCCCATCAAAACAAAAAAAAAAATGAACCAAACATCCTTTCCCCTCAAAAAAAAAAAAAAAGACACAAAGTCCAATACTACTACTTCCTCTTCAACACTTCTTAAATTTGAACTACAGATAGAAAAAATAGATGAAAAATTGCAACCAGTTTTAAGTGGCAAGTTTGAATAACTGCAGTAAACTGTTGTAATTTTTTTAAAACCTTTACTTTTAAAACAAGATAGAGTTTTTGGAGAGAAATTAATCTGTTCAAAGACATCTTGTGGCAGAAGCAAAATCGTTCTAAAATTTTGCTGCAGCCTATTTCCTGCATTGCAATTGTGGAACTAGCTTCTCTCATAGAATTCTTTTTTTTAATTTTTTGAGGGATGTAACAACCAGGGCAAGAAGGGCATATTAACTAGTTGCTTTTCTCCCCTGCGTGGTAGGGGGTGCTGGTGTTTTGAAAAGCTTTGCCCGAGATGTCATATACAGGTCTTTGAAGTTCATTTCCTTGTTTTCTTACCTGGGGGCAGAACTTTGTCAGGGATTTGTCTGTTCAAAGAGACTTTCCCAAAGTGACTGGTGCTGCTGCAGTCATTGCTGTCTATTTAGTCATACCTCGTAATTCTCACTTCTAAACCTTCTGTTCCTGCATGAGGAAGGTGTGGTGTACCTTGGCAATTGAATTACCACATTCTAGTATGTATATAATGGCAGTGCTTAATTTTTTAATAAACAGTCTTCATTACTGTGTCTTGTGAACCACTTGATTGATTTGGTAATATAAAATAGCTGAATTATGAAACATAATTTAAAAATCCAGCTGTGTGACTGCTGGCTAATGACACTATTGGGGTTTTGAGTAGAGCTTATGTTTTGAAAGACAATTTTCTTTTGTTTTAATTAAGTGGCTGTGAAGGAATTTTTTGAGGGACAAATTGTGAAAGGAAAGTCATATGAAAATGAATGTCACCTGGAGCTAGAAAGTTTCTAGGAATCTTTTCTCCCAAATAGGAGAGATGGAGGGCAGCCTTGTGCTGCCAAGAGTGCTGTAAATGATCTCACAGGTCTTATTTTTTATGAGTTCAGGTGGTGTGGGCTGTGTTTGTTTTAGTTTTAAGAAATCCACATGCCCCCTACTCCTTTGCCTCCCAATTGCTCCTCTACTCTACAAAACATAATAATAAATATTATACCTACTTCCTTTGCCACTTCTCTGTCTTGACCCCCAAATAAACCTGAGGATGTACACCAAGATCTTGGAATGATCATTTTGGAGGTTCGATTTAGATAAAAAAAAAGGAAGGAGCATAGCACCCACTTGCTTCAGATGAATGGAAACTGTTGAAATTCTCTTTTTGATGAGCTATCTATTTTCATCTATTCCTGGTTTCTCTCTGAAAAAAAACCATGAACTCAGCTGCTGGAATCTTATGAAATGGGTAACAAAGGTCACTTTGTCTCTCTGCTGTGGTAGAACTACTGCAGGGCAATGCTTGAAAGGTAGCAGAGCTTGATCCATGGATGCATTTACTGGGTTTTAACATAGTTGAAGATACTTGTTAAACCAGTATTTACAGAAGTCTTTTCCTGTTTTGCAGATTTGATTGCCTGTAGTATATTGATCCATAAAAATGCCAATCATCAATGTATTAATTGTAGAGGGGAAAATAAGAAATGGAAAGTTAACAAGCCTTTTCTTTGCTCCTTGGCATTTAAATGCCACTGCAAGAAAATGTTCTGAGGACCAAAAGTGATTGGAATTTCATATCTGACTAAATTTTTTTTTCTTCTTCCTTAGGATGTTTTGTACACTGTGTGCAACCCTGTTGGGAAAGTCCAGCGCATTGTTATATTCAAGAGAAATGGAATACAAGCCATGGTTGAATATCCTTTTTGAGTGTGATTTTTATTTTGGGATTTTTTTTGCTGTAGGTTCTTGACTCCAGATAGGTTTAACATGCAAATGTCAGAAAGATACCACGTTATTTTAAGTAATTATTTCTTAATTTCTGTCTAAGACATGGTAACTTCTAATTTTTGTATGTCTGTAAGACAAAGTAGTACTTACACATTTCATCTTTGTAGGAAAATGGCATTGTCAACAGTGGTTGATAACCATGTTTATAGTCCCTCAGGCCTAATAATTGCAGACCTGAATTGTGTCATAGATTTGACAACCCTTTATACACGAAAGTTTCATGGCTTCTGCCTGTGTTGATACTCAACAAATGGGTAAGGTATTGCAGAGGTGCAGTTTGTCTTCTTCAGACTCTTTAATAGTCCCAGTATGCACTGCTTGCCTTACTATTTTGACTTCATAAAGCAAAGGCCATCCTTGACCTTGATTCTTGGGCATCATATGTTGAAGAAATTCCCTGCTCTATTATCCTACTGTTTATTCTGTTTGCAGCACTAAGTTGTTCTTGGCTTGAATGTTCAGAATTGTTGTGTGTTGCTGTGGTTTGTGAAGCCCAAAGTCTGATATGATTAGGCCTTAACTGACAGCCCTCTTCCTAAAGCTTTATTAACATCCATTTTTAAACTGTTATCTGGACAAAATTTGCCAAATTATTTGGAATTACTTTGTGATTTCAGATGCTGCCAATGTGATGGTTGTATTGATGATTTTCCAGGCAAAGGGAACTACCTAATTTCTATTAAATCAAACTAATTGCTATTCATCTATGTAGAAAACTTAAACCATGTGTCCTAACAGACAATAATTTGACTTACTGTATGTGTTAAGTTTGTCACAAATTGAATTGTCAGGATCAGATGACTTGTACAGTTAGGGGTTATTCCTCATCTTATAAGAGATTATGGATGTTGTGGGGAGGGTCCTGCACACACCTAGAAATGATCATCCATATGTCCCTTGAAGTAGATTCTGTAACGTGCCTTTTATTGAAAATGAAACCAGCCAGCAACTGAAAGAAAACTCACAAATATGAGTGAAGTAATGCAGCAGCAAGGAAACAGTTGGGGGAGGCAAGGAAAATGAGCTTCAAGATAAGCCTTTTCTGAAAAGTTAAAAAATTTACTCAAATTTAAATGCTCCTTGAAGTACCCATTACTTCTGCAGTTCTGGCCAGGTTTCTTGCAGGTTTGGGAAGCTTAACTTTCTTAATTTTTAAGTCCCACAGTGAACCTGTGTCACTTTGGAAGAAGATGGACTGCAGGAATGTGGTAAAACCAAGGCACATTCTGTTGTTTTGGACTTCTTCTAAAATGTCACTAAATGATATCAAGACATGGTGCAAAAGGTCTGTTCTGCTGCAAAGTTTAGGCTTTCTGACACCATATATTGCTGAGTATGGGTGAGATCATGGGTTGTGATGTGCCAAGGCTCAGGCACATTTTTCTGTTAATCACAGAACTAATCTTGGAGCATGGGGAGCATATGAAATAACTTAGGTTTTGGAGCCTGGTACATGCATCTGCCTGTTGTATTTTTTTGAGGCAAGATCAATATTTGTTCACTCAAAGTCTCTCTTTTAGTTAAGTGAGATTTTTTGGCTAATGAGCTAAAAAGGGTGTACACTTACTTCTTTGTGCTTTAAAGTAACTACTGTGATAAGTCTGTGTGGAGTTCTTGTAGTGTATACAATAGTCAAATACCTGCAGGCTTCCAAAGTAAAGCCCTATCAGATAAAAGGGACGTGAATGAGACACCTGGGGAAAAAGATCCTTAACATGATGTGTATGTTTGAATCAGTGTTTTGTGCCCAGAAGGCGAAGGCAGCGCTCAATGGAGCAGATATCTATGCAGGATGCTGCACACTAAAAATTGAATATGCAAGGGTAATGCTTGGACCTTCTCTTTTAATTTTACTAAAAAAAAAAAAAACAAACCCAAAAACCCATATAGTCAAGGCTTAACCTCTTTCACTTTTACTTTATTTGAACAGCCAACTCGACTTAATGTCATTAGGAATGACAACGATAGTTGGGACTACACTAAGCCATATCTGGGCCGCCGAGGTAGGTTCTGATCCATTCTCACTGTAGCTGTTTGACTGTACTAATGCCAGCCCTTCACACGTGGTCAGGCTGTGTGGCAACAGTCCTTCCAAAGCAGGCCAGTGCTGCTGGAGGCTGTGCCACGGCAGGGAATTAACCCTGAGCCCTAGTGCCCCCTACTGCCGTGTGCTTGAGCCACTTAGTGCAACAAGGAGCCCACACCTCCAAGCACCTTCGCAGTTCTCAAGGACTTGCATTTCTCCAAGCAGCTCTCTCTCTTTGGAGGAGAGGAAACCTGGCACAGACTATTCCTTATAAGCTACAAACTTGCACACTGCTTCTCCTTCGAAAGGACTCTTTTCCCCTATGTTGGACAAGGCATTAAGAAGGATAGAGGACTTCAGCAGGCTGACTCTACACTTCATCATGCACCACATCGGCATCAGCAAAATAAAACCCCAAACAAACAAAAAAACCCTCTGAAAAACCTCAGACTTGCAGTTCACCTTGTCTGCATACTGCATGCACCACCACCACAAGTTTGTAAAGGAGGACATTTTCAGTACTTCAGATTTGTGTGGGATGAATAACATGATAGACTGTACCCATTCTGTTCAAGTTTGTATGTATGCTGATCTTATTTCCCTTAAAATTACCAGTGAAAAATCGAGAAACTCCAAAATTAAGAACCTCTTGTTGATATCACTGATGTTGTAATCTTGTTATTACTTGCTGTATGTGAGAGTTGCATTCAGACTTAACAGTGTAAATATTGTTTAGTAGTAGGGAAGTTCATTCCTTATATGCAGGTAGTTGGAACTGAGCAGTGCAATACCAAGAAGTCCCCTCAGCTATACTTAAGTAATAAAATAGGGAGATTCATAATTGGTACAGGCATACTGTCTCTTAACTACTCAGCTGTAAAAATTCTCAGAGCTTAACTCATGTCAGTGGAAACTATGATTATATATGTACAGTCAAACTGCTGTCTAGCCTAATTCATGTAAAGTGTTTATTTAAAAATAACCAAAAATCTGTAACTATTGAGTGCAGTGTTCAGTAACCTATGTACAGTAATGTGTTCAATGTAAAGTTAGAAAAGTGAAGACAATGTGACCAAGATAGAGTATCTACTTATCAAAGGCTACATGAGAACCAGGGCTTTGGCTGTCTCAAGAGATTTGCATTTCCACAGTAATTCTGCAGAGACACTGGGCTTGTGAAACTGTTGTACAACTAAAAACTTAGGGCTTGGCTTTTCAAAATGAAGTTCTTGTAAAAAGTTAACAAGGGAGCTACAGTATTGGTTGCAGCTTGTAGATTATGACAATTTGTATCGGGATTCAAATTTTTTCTCAAATTCTTGAGTCAAAGAAAAGGGATTCTGGAGAAACTCAAGGACAAAAAAAAAATCTAAAGGCTCGAATTTGAAATATTGAAAGGATTAATTTGACCCTTGTATCTTTTGATCATTGCAGTGTTTGGAGGCTGACTTGTAACACTGTGCATCTAAATGCATTATGTAATTGGTCTGCAGAGGGATATGACTGTATGAACTAAAACTTCCCCAAACTTGAGCAAACAGTGGAAAATGAAAAACTTAGGATAGGTGTGGCTTGCTCTTTTCAAGAGCCCTGCTCTTGTTTTTCTTTTATTACTGTCTCTATTCTCTATACATAAGCACCCTACTACACTTAAGAGGAAAAAAAAGGTAGACTTGTATTCTTTCTTTCTATCTATCTATCTATCTATCTATCTATCTATCTATCTATCTATCTATCTATCTCATTACATATTGTATGTAGCATGATTTTTCATTTACTATGATCCACATCCATTTATGTGGACAATGGGAATATAAATTTATGAATGAACAGTGAAATGTACTTGAGAAACAGGCATCTAGAGCAGTTTTGCCCATAAAGTAATCCAGGAGTTGTTGTTTTTGTTGGTTTTTTTTTGGAGTTTATGTATTTGTCCTTCAACTTACTCTTGCAACAGCATTATTTGGGTTTTGAACATAGTGTGATCTGAGCTGTAGGGTTCTCACTGCAGCAAAGATCTTATCCCAAAGGAATTTCATTCCAAGGTCAGTCATGCCAATAAATCCTTTCAGAATTTCACACCTGCCTTTCAAATGTTAGGAAGGAAATGCATTTTACTAATGATCTGTTTTAAAGAACTGTTTCTAGTTCTTTATGGTAATAAATTTCCCGTAATCTTTCTCCACTAAAGTAAGCATCCTAACAAGTGCCTGCTGCTGTGAACTTGTATTGCATTAGATTGAATGAAAAACCCACCTGACTTAGTATTCTACTTGACTTTAGCCAGAAATTTCAAGCTGTAGTTTGGAGCATTTCTTTTGGTGGTAATACCAGCTTGCTCAGTGATTCAAGGACCTGATGTAAAAACAAAACTAAAAATCAAGGTACCCAAGCTTAAACAAGATTATAAAGAACCTTTCCTTTCAGAATTATTTTTAACACACGTCAGTTCTCGTGTTTCAATGCTTGTTTACACAAGTATTTTACTGGCACAATCCAGGGCTTTGTTCAAGGAAGGAACAAGTATAGGGCAAGGAGAGACTTGCACCACCATGAGGAGGAAATATTTGTCAAACTTTTCTCACAGAGTTCTTTATTTGAAGAATGTCATTCTTGACTATATTTTACTGTGGGAAGTTTCAAAGTATTTAGTTCCACAGGTTGGAATTACAAAACTGATTTTTCTGAAAGATGATTACTGCATACAGTTTAAATGCTCAAAATACTTGATCTGACTGCTCATTTGCTTTCTAGAGCCAAGAACTGGAGCTGTTACCCTGAAAAGGGAGTGGAAAAATAAACCTGACAACAGCAGTCTTTCTTCTATATATTTGAAAGTGTTCAGGACTGCTCTCTCTTCAGATTTTACTGCCAAAGTAAATATCTGACTTGGAACCTGGCCTCAAAGTCCTGAGCAGAAACATGTGTTTTCATCTACCACTGTTGTGTAATCAAATAGTTGCTGTTTTTTGGGGAAAATACCTCCAACTGCATTGGGCTGGAGTTACTATTTTCAGCAGTCATACTTAAATATCCTGAGAATTGTTGTAAATTGATAAATGCTTTGCCCCATCTTTTCAATGTAGCTTTTTTTTTTTTTAGTTGTTGCTTACCACAAAGAAATCTGGAAGTTTAGATTTTTTTTGTTGTGCAGCATGGATCTGATTGGAAAATACAGCTTTGGCTGTGAGGCATTGCTTCCTTCCATTAATGTAGACCCCTTGCTTAACTTTATATCCTAGAGAACTGGGTTTTCTTAAAGGATTGACTGTTGTTCAAGTGCATTACTCAGTGATACTTTCCCTCAGTTGAACTGTTATGTGCTGCTGATAATGCCACAATGTACAATCCTTTCAGCACGCCCATAAATCAGTAGGTGTTCTGTAAATATATATGTACACATATGTAATGCTCTCTGTTTACTGATTATGAAACCATGTAATACAGGTTGTTGTTGGCTTATGCTGAAACTTCTTGAAAGAAGCCCACTTTGAAAATGTGTTGCTGTTGAAGCTAATATTATGATTCAGGTACTGTCTTTCAAAAGTACTGCATTTCAAATTTGTTTTAAGAGACACATGGGTAAATCCTGCTGTATGGTGTTTTCTATACTAATGTGTGGTGTCTGTTTAGGAGAACTATTTGGTATCTCCATAAACCTTAAATGTCTGCATCTCCTCATTGGCCACTGCCCCAAATCAACTTAAGTGCAATTTGTTATACAGATGGCAGTCTTTTAATTTTGGTGTCCCAGAGCTACAGCTTGTGTTTTTAGACATAGAGTGAATGAGAAATTGTTTATAAAATTAACAAGGACTCAAAATACTTTTTCACTTCTTAACTAGAAGCTTTGTGTCTTAACTGGAGTAATCAAGTGCCTGGTTGTGCATACTAAACTGGTTTCTTTCCCTTCCCACGTTAGACAGAGGGAAGGGCCGACAGAGACAAGCTATTTTGGGAGAGCACCCATCATCCTTTAGACATGATGGCTATGGTAAGTAACATGGGATGACAGCTGGTTATGATTTCTTACATGCTCTGTGGAATTCTAAATATTTAATCAATGCTTAGCTGTGGTTCCCTTCAGCATGAGCAGTTCTGTCAGTCTGCTGTCAGTCTGCGTTCTGAAACACTGCTGGTTCAGTGAAATCCATGTGCACTACTGCCTCACCTCTTCCTGTCACCCAAAGCATTCAGCTCTACAGGTTTATTCCTTGGAAGAAAGTTTTCTTTCAGTTGCCATCACTCTGGCAATGGGTAGAAAATGATATCTGGATTTGGAAAGCAGTTTTCTTCTAGAAAATGGCAACGTAGCGTAGTCAATGGTTTGGTACAACAGAGAGCTCTGATGTCTTTGGATGCAAAGCTATGAATTGTTGGTATTGGCATTTCTAATTTAGCTGATTCAGAAAAGGTACAGCTATGCGTCTGTAGAGAAATGATGTTTTGGAATCAGCTCTATAAAGTGCTGTGTTTGTTACCAGTGCTCTCTGTAAGGCAAGACCTGCTGTCACTTTCATGTGCTGAGCAAAGACCTCGGGGTGGAGAAACAAATGTCCCCACTCACATGTGACTTTTCTAGGTGTTTACTCTCTCACCTCTCAGGTGCAGTGTGGTTTGTCTTGCCTTTTTCTTTGCAAAGGTATTTTACAATGTTGGTTGACATCCTACCTACTCCTTCCAAAGGTTCTTTGAATCCCCAGAATTTCCAAGTGCCGCCTTGATTTCGTGATCTTCTTTTTTCATTCTTCTGATATATCCTTCTACCTTAAGTAATGTGTCCATCTCCTCCTATACCACTGTTTCCCTTTCATTCCTGCTTTCTGCTGTGGAAAAAAAAAGGACAAAAGGTTCCTTTTATACTTGGCTTATGTGGATTTCACATTATTTTTTGTCTCAGAAAAACAGGGATCCTCCCCTGGTCTGTAATACTGGCATTTTCTATGAACAGGGGTACTGCTTACTAGTAGTGTCTCACCACTAAAAAAAAAAAAAAAAAAAAAAAAGAAATTGTCTATTTCAGTGAAACTTGTCACTTTATATATAGTGGAAAGTAGTACCACTTCATTTTGCATTTGTGTGGGGGTTTAAGTATTCCTGTTTCTTCCAAATGAGCATTTTGTAGAAAGACAGGCTTCTGACTTAATCTCATGTCTCTGGGAAAAAGAGCTGTGTCATCTCCTGACCTCTGTCTCGCTCCTTTTGATTTGTTTTCCCAACTTTGTAATATTCTTTCTTGGTGTCATGTAGCTCTGTTACTAGATGGGAATATTTCAGAATGTTGATTTTAATTATTTTCTCTGATACATTTATGTTCAAATACTTTGCACGCTGCAGGGAAGATAATGATTAATGATTTTTGTAATTACTGTAATATCTTTTTTCAGCAATTGCCATAACCTTCTGCCCCTTCTTTAAACATGCATTATCTGTGTGGGCTTTGATGCATGATTACTTCGTGAAAATTATTTCAAACAACATAAAAACATGGTCTCTCATCTCCTTAGGCTCCCATGGACCTTTGTTGCCCTTGCCAAGCCGGTACCGCATGGGATCTCGGGACACTCCAGAACTTGTTGCTTATCCGTTGCCGCAGGCGTCCTCCTCTTACATGCACGGTGGAAATCCTTCTGGGTCAGTTGTCATGGTTAGTGGGTTGCATCAGCTCAAGATGAACTGTTCAAGGGTATTCAACCTCTTCTGCTTGTATGGAAACATTGAGAAGGTAAGGCATAATTTATCAGAAACCTGGAAACTACTATACAAAAAAAGCTTGTCTGAGCCTCCAAAGCCAACTACTTTGGAAAAAGCCTGTCTGAGATTGTCTAAAAATATATCCTAATGTTTTGTAAAACTATTGGTTGAGCTCTTTGTTGCAATGTATTTTTTTTTACCTTATCTATCTTAGGTGAAATTTATGAAGACTATTCCGGGCACAGCACTGGTTGAAATGGGTGATGAATACGCTGTAGAAAGAGCGGTCACGCATCTCAATAATGTCAAGTTATTTGGAAAGAGACTCAATGTCTGGTAAATACGTTTTATCAGATTAATAGTCCACCAGTGGGCAGATGGAATGAGGTTTCAAAGGGACAATGTCGAATTACTCTGTTATCATCATTGGAGTTATGATTTCCAAATTACCACTGTTTATTTTGGCTTTCAGCTGAAGGAGGGTGAATTTAGGTTAGATATGAGGAAGAAATTCTTTACTGTGAGGATGGTGAGGCACTGGTACAGGTTCCCCAGAGAAGCTGAGGGTGCCCCATCCCTGGAAGTGTTGAAGGCCAGGTTGGATGGGGATTTGAGCAACCTGCTCTAGTAGAGGCTGTTCCTGCCCATGGCAGCGGGGTTGGAAGGAGATCAGGTCTCTTTCAACCCCAACCACTCTTAAGATTTATTACTATTTATAATTTTATTTATTTACATTCACAATGCATATTGTCATTACATGGATTGGCCACTAATAAACTGTATTCCCTAATGTGTCTTATCCATTCTTTCTGCATTTTTTTAAGGGAAGTGTCAAATCCAACTCATCCTGTTCTTACTCTATTTATTTCAAATTGTTATAAAGAAACATCAGCTCTTTTCTAGTAAGATAATAATCTGCAAAATATGATAGCCTTAATTATTTAAGAAACTTTATCCTTAAATTCCAGTGTTTCCAAGCAGCACTCAGTAGTTCCAAGCCAGATATTTGAACTGGAGGATGGCACGAGTAGTTACAAGGATTTTGCCATGAGTAAGAACAATCGCTTCACCAGTGCTGGCCAGGCATCCAAGAACATCATCCAGCCACCCTCCTGTGTGCTGCATTATTACAATGTTCCCCTGTGTGTGACTGAGGAAACATTTGTAAAGGTAGGCACTTGGAGTGGCTGACATCCAGCGCTTTCTGAGCTCTGTCCTGGCTTTTTATGGTGCTGCTTTTAAAAACAAGTAACTGGGAGGGTTGTAGCAGAGCCACTGGAAGAGAGATGTTCCTTAAAACACATTTGTGTAGCCCTCCTGGAGATGTTCAATTCTAGAGCTACTGTCTCAATTTTAGTCATACTTAAAAAAAAAAAAAAAAAAAAAATCTTGAAAATAAAGTTGAGGAGCTTAATGTGGGGGGTTTTTGGAGGAAAGGGAAAAGACACAAAGCCAAATACATGGAAGTTAGGACTACAACTCACAAAGGATTTACTGACTTCCTGTAATGACTGCTAGGATGTTTTGGAATGGAGACAAGCATACACCTGGGACCCTTGGCACAGCTGTATCCTAAATGAACTCTGGATGCTTAAAACATGCAATACTGGGCCTCTTTAAGTGGAGGCAGTGGTAAGATTGGCAGTTCAGTGAGTTCTTTTTCAGTTCAATTAAATATATTTTTCCAGCTCTGTCTGAAAGGGAACTCTGGTTCCCAAGTGGTGTCTTTGTATGTACAACTTCAGAGCTACTGTATTGGAGCAGGAATTCCAAAAAGTAGAATTTGTTATTATTTAAATATGTTTTTGGAGGTAGCAGTGATATCACAGATACAGGAACCTTGTTTTACATACTACAGAATAGTGTTCTAAGGAGTTACCAATCTAAACATATTTTTAAAATTATTTGCCATAAATTCTTGCAAACTCTCTTAAAAAGTCAGAATCTTGCTTTTTGTGTGTTTCATCCAGGAACTTGGAATTTTTGCTAATTGGTTTATGTGCACTTTTGCTGGAGTTTTACCTCTTATTTTATTTTTGTGACAGTTATGTGAGGATCATGAAGTTCTCAGCTTTATTAAATACAAAGTGTTTGATCCAAAACGTAAGTAAAACTTGACCAGTTTGAGAAGTTACTTGATTCCAGTTTTGATCGGAGTATGTGCTGTCAGGAGACCTTACTGATCCCCTCCTTCCCGTTTTTATTTCTCCTTTTGACAGCTTCTGCCAAAACACTGTCTGGTCTTTTGGAATGGGAATGTAAGACAGATGCAGTGGAAGCTCTCACTGTACTTAATCACTACCAGATAAGAGTCCCAAGTAAGTAATCTTACTGCTGAATTATTTTTATTTCTGTCGAAAAGGACTTTAGGATTTTGGTAGCCACAAAATATATTGGAGGGCTGGAGCACCTCTCTTGTTAGAAAAGGCTGAGAGAGCTGAGGCTGTTTATCCTGGAGAAGAGGAGGCTCCAAGATGACCTCACGGTGGCCTTCCAGTAAAGCAGGCACATAAAAAAGAGGGAGAGTGACTTTTGACATGGGCAAATAGTGGTAGAACAAGGAGTAAGGGTTTTAAAACTAAGAGAGATTTAGGTTTTAGATGTTAGGAGGATGTTCTTGACTGTGAGGGTGGTGACGCACTGGCACAGGTTTCCCAGAGAAGCTGTGGATGCCCCATCCCTGGAAGTATTCAAGGCCAGGCTGGATGGGGCTCAGAGCAACCTGGTTTAGTGTGTGACATCCCTGCCATATGGCAGGAGGTTGGAACTGGATGATCCAATGAGATGATCCCTTCCAACCAACCCCTTCTATGATTCTTTCACAATATAGAGAAATCTGCAATGTCTTGAACAGAGGATTCTTTAAATTACTCAGCTCATTGCTCTCAATTTATTGCTCCTGTGGCATGTTCCCTTTGAAAGCAGAAATTGTGAAGCCAAGTTGAATTTAGCTCCAAACTAGCAAGAATAGAGGGGGGTGAGTTCACCTGCTAAACAAGTACACAATAGGCCAGATCTGCACTGAACAATTAAGACAGTTTACTGGATTAAATGGAATTTTTCCAGGTGTACCTAGACATAATTTTGAATCCAGGCCAGTGTCTAATATTATTTTAAACTTCCTTCACCTAGCAGTTATGAGTTTGTCTCCCTGTGAAGTGTTAACAGTTTAAATATTTTCTATTCCCCCCACACCTTTGGTCCACCTTCTTAATAATGGAGGCAGGATATTTTTGAAGATAGTATGGAAAGCACACTGTTGACAATTTCAGTTTTATCTCAGTTTGTAGAGGTGGTAACAGCAGAAAAGCTTTCTCTTTCAATGTGAAAAAGGCAAACCCCAGTGGAGGTGTGAGTGTGAAATAGACAGAACTGGTGAACTTGCCAGGTTATGGAAGGTGGATCGGCAGGAGAGCTGTGCCCACGGTGTGTTCTGTGTTGTCTCCTTACAGATGGCTCCAACCCTTACACCTTGAAGCTTTGCTTCTCTACTTCATCCCATTTATAGAGAAGAGGACAGCATGTTAAGAGCTACGTTCACTTGGATTTGCAAGTTAAAAACTACACTTCGTTCACAAAGCTCTAAAGTGGTTGTTCTAATGTTGCCTTGTTTCAACTTAATTCTAATATCTTTTATCTTGTTTTATAATAAATGGATGTTCCTTCATAAATACAAACCAGATTTTTTTTTATTTTTGCCTCTGAGAAGTACATGTTGTAAGCTTACTACAAAGTTTGTATTTTGTTAGTGTAGTATCTTCAAATGTCTAAAGAAGCACCAGTAGGATAAACAAGATTGTTTCTTTTCAAAAAATGAAATATATTTGCATTTTCAAAATGTTAAAGATTAGCAAGTATTTTTCCATTTGTAGTCTTAATTGGCAGATAGAACTATTACAGCAGAATTTTAAATGTAGAACTTGTTTTTCAGTATGTTAAGTAGTGAAGTATGTTGCAATACTAAAAAGAAGCTTGTATTTATAAAATGCTTTGATTGGGTTAATGTTGCACATACTGAACTTTTAGTAGTATAAACTTGATTTATAGTTCAAACAGAGCTAACGTAGAAAATTATTAAATATGTACACGTGTATGGTATGATTTCATACTTATTTAAAGTGGGGTTTTTTGTTTTTTGTTTTTTGTTGTTTTTTTTTTTTAAAAAAAACTATTTTCCATTTGCATTAGCATGATGCCATCTACAGCTAGTCCCACCATAGGGGCCTTTTAAAAATTAAAATTGCAAGCCTGTATCAATGTGTTCATCCTCATTTTCCATGATTTAAACTTAAATCTTTGGTGTTTAACATATCCTTTTGACTCTTTTTTTAAAGCAGTGGTTATGACTTACTAAATGGTAAAAGCTGTGGTGGGTGGTGGCAACGTGGATTGCAATAGAAACCAAGGTGGTAGAAACAGTTAAAAGAAAAAGAAAGCCCCCACCATATCCTTTTGTAGCTGGACAGTTAATTTAATGTTTTCTTCTGTCTGATTTATCTTAAACATCTATTATGACCATGGAGGAATTAATTGGGTGAATAGTCTTGGCTGGTCTGTAGCTTAAGCTGAGGTAATCTCAGTGGAATTCAGGTAAAGTAACTGATTATGTGGTGTGAAATCAATGAGGTGAGAAATCTTTCACTTTGGAGAAGATGGTTTGTTCTGGCCCAGTACTTTGAAACCTGTCTTCTGGAACTGCAGTTGTGTCTTATTTGGGCTAAGCCCCCACAAATGGAAATCCAAGCAGAGGAGTCTGGGAGCTGTTGTCCTAGACTCTGTGTGTGTTCCCCTTTCTGAATTTGCAGTGGATTGTTGAGGGCCTCTTCCAGTTCTGTTCTTAGTCACTGCAGAGAAGTTACTTTATCAGGTAGTTTATGCTTTATCCGACAAGTTCTTTGTTCTGTCTTTATGGATTTTATCTATATCCATCCTTTATGCAAGATGATTTGTGCAGAGTGCTTGTCCTTGAGAGGTTATGTTGTAGGATGTTTACAGGCTGTGGGCATTGCACATCTTTCAATACAGACTGGATTTTCCCCATTCCCCATAATTTCAAGGCAAATATTCCTTATCATACAAGGGAAAATGTGTCAAGTGTCCTTCAGGTTTTCTTGTCAACAATGACTTATTTTTGCCCTGTCTACCTCCGTTTTGTTCATGCTTCAGGTAATGAGTGTTTTAAGTATTCACATCAGGCTTTTAATATGTCTGAACTGGGAGCTGAAACCAGCTGCTTTTTGGCAGCTCTTTCAGCACAGGGTTTGGAATAATCCCAGCCTCCGGTCTGTGAGGTGGCAAAGAGACTTGCATTTTAGGGGCACTGCTGAGACTCTTTCAGCCTCCGTGCTCTTTCCCCAGAAATTGCTTCCAGACAGCTCCAGCACAGAAGTCCACGTGCCATATCTTGCTGCTAGTGAAATGCTCTTCGCTGCTTAGTGTTTTACCTGTAAAAGATCTCTCCCAGACTCTCATTTCTCTTTTACCAACTTAAATGTTCTGTGGAAATCTGTTTCTCCTGTCATAATTTCCATTGCTTGGTTGTATTGGTGTAGTTCCAGAAGTTGTTTGTAGTTGAGCATTAGAAATAGTCTGCTTTCAAATTGCAGTGTGGGATGAATGACCTGTAAAACATTCAAGGTTTCATCTTTAAAAAAAAAAAAAAAAAAAGAAATGCACTTTAATGTTTTTGTGTCCTCAGTGGATCACAGCATTCAGTGCCTAAGATGTTCAGGTGAAAGGCATCTTTCCTGTCTCTTCCCAGATCAAATGGAGCATGGTTCTGGGTATATCATATAGGACTTGATAGCAGTTGGATGGCCCATATGCAAAATGAGTAGCCTGTGCCATGTGGGGCAGAAAAGAGAGGAGACTGAAGAATTGTGCAAGCTTTTTTCTCCACAAAATAACCATCTTATTCATGTGTTCATGCGAACAGGAAAGATTCCTTGTTGGTGCTTTGCTGTTAAAAGAAAATAATGTTTTCTCTTGGGCCTACCAGAGTGGATGCTTGTCCTCAGGAAGGAATGAAGTTGGTCTTCTTCCACACCCAAGGTCTGTGTTCACCTTTAGTCCTGCTCCTTAGAACAGAGCCCAAACAGTGGGGCAGGTGGGGAATTAGTTGCTCCAGAGGGAGTGAGTGAAGTTTGTCTCTCATTTGGCAGTGGTATTACCATACTTGTTAGATTAAAATTAAACTTCATGGTCTCTTAATGCAGGGGATTTTTTCCTGTCTCTTTTGCATAAGTCACACAAGCAAAACATTGGACATTGCAATGCACATTCCCTGCTGGTAAGCAGCTGTCATTCACAATGTAATATCTTCATGTCTGTCCTGCTGTTTGTTTTGTTGGTGATGTTTTGTTTGATTTTCCAATTGATCACCTTTCATTGGGAGTAAAGATGTATTGAGGTGGTGATATGTTCCTCTTCTCATTATACTCTTAATTCTTGTTTATATTTATTTTTCTTTATATGCAAGAAGTGTGAAGAGTTGTTTTTTGACTTTCTATACCACCACAGCAAGATAGAGTGCATTGCTAGGGTGATGAAAGAGAAGATTTAAAAGAAACCATGTATTTGGATGTTCTGCTTTGTGAAAGGAATGATACAGCTGGATGTGGTGTCACTAAGTCTGTCTTTTAGAAAGGGATAATGTTTGGGGCAAGCTGGCTTGTTACTGGCTGAAACCCTTTTGTTGTAATTAAATGCAACTCGCTCCTTTTCCTGCTGTGTGTTTTCTTGTGAACAGCTCTTGAACTTGTTTGAATGTGCTGGTGGCTTAGCAGGAGACATTCAGTCTCTTCTGTTAAATAATGCATCAAGGTCTGGGAACATGAGCACTTTTTGTTCAATTATTTTTTCATCTCAGGGATGTGTTTAAACATATTTGGGATTCTTTTGTGTGTTCCTTTTTTTTTTAAAGTACCTTGCATTCCCACATCTGTAGCTACCAGTGGGTTTTTTAGCCATTCCAGCGTTTCATGTCTACTTTTATGTCTAACCAGTCAGAGAGAAGTGTGCTGCATGACTGATTTGTTGTGAAATTCAAGTATCTTCTCAGTTGCACCATTAATATTGACACTTGTGGGGAGGAGTGATCAGATGTGCTCACTCCTCTGATAATGTGATGTTTCTAGTGGGCCTGTTGCCCGATCCGAAGAAAACACAAACAACCGAAGTCATTTATGCGGTGCTTTATTGAGGGCCCGGGAGCCTGTGGACTAGCGTCCAAAGACAGAGCCCCATTTCACAGAAAAATCACAGGGTTTTTATATGTTTTCTACACGATTTCTTCATCATCATAATTTCTTAATTCTCTCTCACTACCTGGTACGATTATCTCTCTGACATTTAAATTTTGCCAAAAGTACATTCCTAGATTATCTCCTAGTTACACTGCTTACATTGCAATATCTGCCGTATAGTTCATCTGCAGGTTACATGTGGCCTACCAAGCCTTAGCATAACTACTACTAATGTCAAACCAATGCTAACTAATACAGTTTATTGAACCAAATGGCAACAGGCCATTTGAGTTCCTTAGAATCTGTTAAAAATAACCTGAAACAAATAGATGTTCAGGGTTTTGGGGATGATGGGGCCCCCAAGTTCTACTGATAAAGCATCTGATTTGATAAAGGGTCAATCCATTTCTAGATGAGTGCATTATCAAGTTAAAAGAGCAAAATATTTCTGTTATGTTTAGTCTCCTAATGCATAATAGCCTTTCCCTGTTACAAATAGAGGATTTCTTCCTCCAAGGACTATAATTCTCACAGGATGTGGAAGAACCTAATGCAGCCAGATTACTTCTGCTGTGCTTTGACCATGGCTCTCTGAAGGAAGTACCTCAGTCCCTTTTCTTGTATTCAGAAAGCTTTATCTGCCCTGTGCCAAGCCTTCCTGTCATGGTTTTTCCCAGCCAGCTCCCTGGGCTGGAGCCAAACATGAATTCAGATGTGTTCCCTGCTCTTCTTCCTCACAGTTGCAGCTGCTGAAGTGTGGTCTTAATTTCTGGCATGATTTATTTAACTTTTCCTTCTGTGGTGTTCCTGGAGCAGCTGCAGCCTGAGTGGGTCTTCATGCAAGGGAGTGAGTCCACCAGAAACGTGCCAGGAAGCCAGCAGCTATGGCAAAATAATTAACCCTCTTTTCCAAAGCATTTGGGATCCAGGAAAACAAATTAATCCTGGCAGGGGCAGCATAGCAGTATTCAGAATTAAACACTGGAGTGGGATTGTAGGATGGGGGATGGATGAGGCTGGGAGTTGGAGCACAATGCAGGATGTAATTACTCAATTTCATATAAGCCATTATCTGTTTATTTTCTCTTGCCATCTTTTCTTTCCATTTGTGGTTTCATCTTTCTTCAAGCTACTAAAAAAATTAAATTGTTTGTGCTCCATTGAAAATTCAAGTGCATAGTAGTCAAATAAGCCTCCAGAAGTTATTAGAGTGCTTCTTACTGAAAATCCTAAATTTTCTGTCTCTTAGGCTGTTAATACAATAGACTTTGAATATTTCAGTGATGCTTTATCAGCAAGGTGCAAATCTTTGGCCATTTTAAACTGAATGGCAGAGGTGCAGAGATTTGCATGTAATATAGATTATGCTTCTATTTTTTGTTAACCACAGCACTGTAACTGCTAAATCAGATTAAATCAGTGAGCTCTAGATAAGCATCCTGTCAAAAGGCTTCAGAAGTGTCTAAGAAATAGGCTGGTCAGACTGTGACCTGATAATCTTTTTTTGAAGTTGCTCTATGGCTTCTGATTGAACCATGGTAACCTAAAACTTCTGCAGGTGGGAATCCGACTTGTTGAAATTTAGTTCTCTCATCATATTGGGGTGCACTTTAAATACAAAACAAACTCCTGAGTTCTGAGGATAGAGCTCAAACTGGAGTATTTTAGTTACACTTAAATATATTCCCCTTGCCCAAGATTTCTGTGGTGGTTTTCCATCTTTTTATTGCTGTATGGGAAAGACTTGTCTGTGCCTTCATAAGGATCCTTTATATGCCCCTAACTCCTCCTTTTTGTGTTAACACGAGGCAATGAGAGCTAACCAGAGGATCCCAGATTAGAACTGAGCTATTGATTTATTTCAAAGTAACAAGTTCTCTAGTCTTGCTTTTTTCAGCTATAACTTTCATCTACTACTGCTACTAATAACAACCCTACCTGAAGTAGTCTGAAGGACAGGTTTTTCTCATGAAGAGAAATAAGGTGATAACACTTCACCAGGTCTTCAAGCTTATGGACCCCAAGTTCACAGCTGAGTGCAACCCTGCTCATCTTGCTTTCTTCACTGTAGGCAAGTAACACATCATTCATGTCGGACTGCGGCTTCAGCCTGCCCCTGCCATTACCTTCAGTGCTCCCACCCTTGATGACCCTGGCGTTGCAAAAAGAAAAAAAGAAAACAAATGGAGGTTTTCCTTTTCATCTCCCACAGCTTCCAAATGAAGCTTGGTCTTCTGTCTTCTGCACAGCTTGAAAATTCCCAAGAAACAGGGCAGGGATATTCAAGAATGCAAGAACAACGGAAGTTAATCTTACTCTTTGAAACCGGCAGGAAGAAAAGAGTCGTAGCTCCTGCCCTGAGACTGCCAGCACAGCCTCCATTTTATTTTACTGCTGAAAGCAGACTCGGCTTTCCAGGAACTCTGCTTTGTAGACCTTTCTGGAGAACATCCGGCCAAGGACAAGCCTCCTTTCACGGGGAGGACAGAGCGGCTCCGAACCGGGATGGCACACGTTCATCGGCGGGATGTGTGTGGGGTGAGGCTCCCTGCTCCAAGGGGACACTTGTTTCTCTCCCATGGCATGCTGCCATCCCAGCAGCCTTGGCAGGAGCCCTTCCTGCACTAAGCTGCTCATAGCTGACCAATGTTTGAGAGGGGCTCGACTTTAAACTGCTTAAGCAGCAGTCACTTTCCATGTGAAGCTGCTCTTAAGCCATTTTGCAGGCACTTAAGCTGCTTCTATCTTTTAGTCCTCTTGAGATGCCGATATTCCCCATCTCCCCAGTCACTGTGTGACTGCCTGTACTTTGCATTAGCCTGGTTCCTGTTAAAGCCTCTGTAGATCAGAATTCCAGAGTCACTCACTTGAATGCCTGCTTTGGGTTGTGTGTGTGGCTTGAGCTTAGGTCTGCCAGCTGTGAGGTTGGCTCCTGAGCCAAGGAGGGTGGGAGTCTGCCCTGACTTTTTAGGGCAGAAAAAGCCCTAAAATCAAGTTGCCCAGTGCTCCAGGTTCCACCGGGAGCTCAGACACTTGTCCACACTTGTCCTGCAGCTTGCTGAAGAGTGTGTTTACCTTTAGCCAAACACCCTGCCAATAACCCTGAATCAGCCTTGTACCCAGGGCTGTGCAACACAGAGGCCAGGCTGATAACAACTGCATTTTGCTTTGTGTCCTTTCCAAGCCCAGACCAAGTTCCCCTGCTGACATCTGGGGGAGGGGTGGGTGGAGAGGCTGAGCTGTGTTCACCTGGGAGATACTGTTCTTATCTGCTCTGTGAATGGGGAGCTAAACAAAGGAGCAGGGGCAACCTGAGTGCACTTTTGGCTCTTGATTGTGGCAGCAGCACAGAACAGACACCAATATCTGCTGCTGGCCTGTGAAGCAGAGAAGCTTTCAGAGCCAGGCTGGTTGAGTTTACAC